AAAAAAAAACCAAAAAAACTTCATTCTGTTATTTAAGAAATATTTACTTCTGCTATTCCAGGCACTGTGCTAGGTACCAAATGTGCTTTGAAGAAAAGAGGCATTGTCCTTGCCTTTGTGGAGTGAACAGCCAAGTAGGAGAAATATACTGCAAACAAATATGTTTAGAAATTGTGATAAATACAAAAACAAAAGCAAAGAACAGATTGTTGTGAGAGAATTACCGAAGAAATATTTTGATTTTGATTGGGGAAGTTCAAAAACTGAAGGATCTGAGATTTTATCTTTCTTAAAAAGGCTAAACTGCCATAGTTTTATGAATATTGTCCGAAGACATGAGACTCCTGGGTTAGAGAAAAAGAACTCTATTACAACACAGCAAGAATTATGAGCATTAGCATATTGTGTTTTAGTTTCACATGCCTCCAAATATTATAGGGAGATATGGGTCCATGTGGATTGTACGTGTACAGAGAGATTGCATGGAAGGTAAGGAACTTTGAGCTTGAAGAAACTACCACTTTTGTAGTGAATAGTAAACAAGTCGGCTCTCTGTCTGCAGGGGGATGTTACTGTGTCTCTGAAGATTTCTTGCCAAATACAAGAGCAAACCCAGGGCCTTGCATTATTGGCATGCCCTGAAAGAACATATAGGGTTACTTGAGGCCCATGGGGGATTGCTGCTTTATCAGGGAAGAGGGAGGCCAAAGAAGTTTTCTCTGAGATAATTTCTCTTAAATAGCTTTACTGAGGTATAGCTGGCATACAATAAACAACACATCTTGAAAGTATACAGTTTGATATGTTTTCACGTATGAGTACACCCCTGAAATCATCACAAGCAATCAATGAGCATATTCATCACTCCCAAAAGTTTCCTTGTACAGCTTCGTAATTACTGTCTCCACTGTCTCCCTTCCGCATCCCCAGGCAAACACTGATCTGCTTTTTGTTACTCTATGGTAGTTTGTAGCTCCCAGAATTTTGTACAAATTGAATGATTTAGCATATATTATATATTCTTATTTGTTTGGCTTCTTTCACACAGCATGATTTTATTGAGATTCAACTATATTGTAGTTTGTTTTTGTTGCTGCATATTATTCCATTGCATGGATATATTAGTTTGCTTATGCATTGGCCTGTTGATGGACATTGAGTTGTTTCCAGTTTTTGCTACTACAAATAAAGATACTGTGAATATTCAGGTACAGTTCCTTATGTAGACATATACTGTTATTTTTTTTTGGATAAATATCTAGAAGCAGAATGATTTAACAATATTTAGGTATATAGTTAACATTTTAATGAAATGCTAAATTCTTTTGCAAAATGAGTATGCAATTTTTAATCTCCATAATTTATATAAGAGTTCTAGTTCGTTTATCCTTGCCAATATTTGATATGGTCTTTTTTTTTTTGTAACAGTCTCACTGTGTTGCCCAGGCTGGAGTGCAGTGGAACAATCTCGGCTCACTGCAACCTCTGCCTCCTGGGTTCAAGCGATTTTTGTGCCTCAGCCTTCCGAATAGCTGGGATTACAGGTGTGCACCACCACACCTGGTTAATTTTTGTATTTTTAGTGGAGATGGAGTCTCACCATGCTGGCCAGGCTAGTCTCAAATTCCCGACCTCAGATGATCCATCCACCTCAGCCTCCCAAAGTGCTGGGATTACAGGCACAAGCCACAGTGTTTGGCTATGATATGGTCACTCTTTTTAATTTTAGTCACTTGAACAGTTATATAGTTGTGTCTTGTGGTTTTAATTTGCATTTCCCTATTGACTAAAGAGGTTGAGCATTTTTTTTCATGTGTTTATTTGCCATTCATATACCTTCTTTGATAAAGTTCCCATTTTTGAAGTTAAGCTATTTTCTTATTGAGACTTGAGAGTTCTTTATGTGTTTCAGATACAAGTGCTTCATCAGATATATGTGAAATTGATTTTCCCTTTCTGGGGCGTGTCTTTTCATTTTCTTAGCAGTAATTTTTTTTGAAGAGCAGACACTTTTAATTTAAATGTTGTCCAGTTTATCAAATTTCTTTTATGGACCATACTTTTGGTTTCATATCATGTCTAACTCAAGGACAGAAAAGTTGTCAGATTTTTTCTTTTAGAAGATTTAATCTTTTTTGAGTTAATTTTTGTATAAGGTATAGAGTGTGGGTTAAAGAGGATTTTTTTGCATATAGCTCTTCAATTGTTACAGTATCATTTGGTGAACTCTACCCTGTGTCCACTAAATTCTGTCTGCACCTTCGTCAAAATTCAGTCTCCCAGATATGTGTGGGTCTATTTTTGTACTCTCTATTCTGCACCATTAATCTATGTGTCTGTCTTTACCCCAGTACCAGTGTATTGATTATTATAGTTTTGTATGTCTTGAAATCAGATCATATTAGTACTCCTACGTTGTTGTTTTTCAAAGTTGCCATGACTATTGTGGGTTCTTTGCATTTTCATATGATTTTTGGATCATTTTTTCAATTTCTACTAAAAGAAAGCCTGCACTGATTTTAAATTAGATTGCATTTAATACATAGATTAATTTAGGGATAATTTACATTTAACAATATTGAATCTTTGAACTATGAATGTTATCGCTTTCCATTTATGTAGGTCTTCTTTATCTCAGCATTGTTTTTGCAGTTTTCAGTGTGCACCTATTTCCCCTTTTGTCAGATATATCTAAGTATTTCATATTTTTTGTGCTATTCCAAATTGTATTCTTTTAAAATTTCAACTTCTGATTGTTCATTGCTAGTATATAGACATACAACTGAATTTTGCACATTAATCTTATATCCTGCAATTTTGCTAAATTCAGTTATTGTGTTAACTCTAGTAGCTTTTCTCACAGATTCCATGAGATTTTCCATATAGATACTTGTATGTTGTCTGTCTAAAAAGACTGCGTGCCTTTCCAATCTGAATGTCTTACTTACTTATTTACTTAGGCCTCTTTACACTGGCCAGAACCTCTAGGATATGTTGATTAGAAGTGGTGAAAGCTAACATTGTTGTCTTCTTGCTGATTTCCGAACAAAAGTATTACTTATTCTCTTAAGTATTATATTAACTGTAGTTTTTCATAGATGCCTTTTATTAGTTTAAGGATGTGTTCCTTTCTGTTCCTAGTTGACTGAGAGTTTTATTCGGAGTGAATGTTAGATTTTTTTTCAAATGCTTTTTCTTCATCTATTGAAAAGAGCATATGCTTTTTCTTTTTAGTTTGCTAAAAGATGAATCATCACATTGATTGATTTTAAAACATTAAGCAGACCAGGTATGTTGGGTCATGTCTGTACTCCCAACACTTTGGGAGGCCAAGAGAGGAAGACTGTTTGAGCCTAGGAGTTAAAGAACAGCCTGGGCAATATAGTGGGACCCCATTTATTTAGATAGATAGATAGATAGATAGATAGATAGATAGATAGATAGATAATTAGATAGATAGAGAGAGAGATAGATAGATAGATAGATAGATAGATGTTGTTATATATATGTAATTCCAGGTGTGTGTGTGTATATATATATATGTATATGTATGCCAACTATGAATTTCTGACATAGATCTCCTTGGTCATGATGTATTATTCTTTTTATATATTGTTTGACTAGATTTGATGAAATTTTGGTTATAATTCTTGCATCTGTCTTCATAAGGAATATTGTGTAGTTTTTATTTTTCTTTTAATATCTGGTTTTTATGTCAGGGCAGTGCTTGCCTCAGAATGAATTGGGAATTGGTATAGAATTGCTTTTATTTGTTTCTTAAACTGCTTGATAAAATTCACCACTAACGTCATCTAAGCCTGAAGTTTTTCTTTGTGGAAAGATTTTTAACTAAAAGAATCAACAGGTATAGTGTTATTCAGTCTATCTATTGCTTCTTGAGTGAGCTTTGTTAGTTTGTATCTTTCAAGGAATTTGTGTGTTTCATGAAAGTTTTCAAATTTATTCACATAAAGTTGTTCATAATTCCTTTATTACCCTTTTAGTATCTGCAGAATATTTTGTAATATGTAATGAGATCACCTCTGTTATTCTTAATATGAATTATTTGTTTCTACTCTTTTTTCCTAATCCATCTGGCTAGAAGTTTGTCAATTTTACTTATCTTTTCAAAGAACCAGTTTTTAGTTTCAGTGTTTCTTGTTTTCATTTTCTGGTTCATTGATATCTGTTCAGAGCTTTATTATTTTATTTCTTCTGTTTACTTTGGTTTTTATTTGCCCTTCTTTTTCCATGTTCTTAAAATGGAAGTTTAGGTAATTGATTTGAAACTTTTCTTCTTTTCAAATGTAAGTATTTGCATAAATTTCCCCCAAGTACTCCATGCCACAAATTTTGATGTGTTGTGTTATAATTTTCGTTCAGTTCAAAATACTTCTAATTTCCCTTTTGATTTCTTTTTTGATCCATGGGTTATTTAGAAGCATTTTGTAGTTTCAAATATTTCAGGATTCTTTTCAGGTATCTTTTTGTTACTAATTTCTAATCTAAAACTATTTTGGTTAGAGAACAAGCTTTGTATGGTTTGAAGCCTTTTCGACGTATTGAGACCTGTTTAATGGAACCAAATATTGTTGATCTTGGTACATACTCCATGTGCACTTGAAAAGCATATGTGTTTGCTGTTTTGCATGACGTATTGTATGAATGTAAATTAAGTCAATTGGGTTTTAACGCTGTCAAGTTTTCTGTCCCGATTTTCTGTGTACTTATTTTCTTGATTCTTGAAAAAGGAATTGAAATCTTCAACTACAATTGTGGGTTTTTCTATTTTTTAATATAGATTGTGTTTCAAAATATATGGCCTGCATATCAAGTGCAGTGAGTCAAAGTGGAAAATTATTATTATTAGCATTCCTATAAAAGACCTCATTAGAACACATCTTTGGTTTGCGTTATAGTGTGGGTTATTTGGAACAATATCTTCATATGCAGAAGAAACATTTATTTACCACATTTTATTTTCATTTATCTAATTCATGTTCTTGTTTTGCTTGGCAGCTTCTATGTTTTTGAAGCAGGCATTTGAAGGAGAATACCCCAAATTATTACGTCTTTATAATGACTTATGGAAGCGTCTTCAACAATACAGTCAGAATATCCAAGGAAATTTTAATGCAAGTGGAACTACAGACCTCTATGTTGACCTACAACACATGGAAGATGATGCACAAGATATATTCATACCAAAAATGCCAGATTATGAGTATGTTTCTTTAATTTGACCTGTTAGTTGGCATCTTAATTTTATTTTTATTTTAAATTTTATCTTTTATTTTTATTTTAAATTATAAATTAAGTATACACAAAGTCTCTAAATATTTGTAATGTATTTGTATACCTTAACAGACTTTGCAAGACTTTTAACTGAAAAAGTCAATTTTCACCCTTAGTTAAACACTTCTGGCTCCTGCCGGAGTCAATTTTAAAGTGTAACACTAAGTAGGATGATGAGAAGGAAGATGATCATGTTGTGGTCACTGTATTTTAATCGATGTTATAATATACCTATAATTACCTCAGACGGTATCATTTATTGATGGACCACTTGCATAAATGTGTCATAAAAGGAACTTGGGTGTTCAGAAACTACAGGGGAGATAAATCTTATGCTGGGATAGGTTCTCAGTCATTGTGTTAAGAAAAAGTGGAGTGGATCACTAGGTCGAGTTCGAGACCAGCTTGATCAACATGGTAAAACCCCGTGTCTACTAAAAATACAAAAATAGCTAGGCATGGTGGCGCTCGCCTGTAATCCCAGCTATTCGGGAGGCTGAGGCAGGAAAATCGCTTGAACCTGGGAGACGGAGGCAGCAGTGAGCCAAGATCACGCCACTGCGCTCCAGCCTGGGTGAAGGAACGAGACTCTGTCTCGGAAAAAAAAAAAAAAAAAAAAGCAGAGTGTAGTTATCACTTAGGTATTTGTAGGGGATTGGTTCCAGGACCCATTGGGAAGTTCAAGTTTCTTATGTAAAAATGACATAATATTTGCATATAACCTATGCACATCATCTCTAGGTTACCTGTAATACCTAATACAATGTAAATGCTGTGCATAGAGTTATTACACTATATTGCTTAGAGAATGATAAGAAAAAATGTGAATAAATGTTTCATTATAGCCACAACTATTGTAGACCTAAGTAGGTTTTCGGTCCATGCTTGGTTTAATCCTTGGATATAGAATTTGCAAAAAACGGAGGTCCAACTGTATAGTCAAAATTACCCCTGAAAATCTCTTAGGTCACCCATGAAGTATAGTAGTATAGCCATATTTAGGAGCCATATTGGAAACCAATATACAATCTCAGCAAATTTAGCCTGCCCAGCTTTTCCTCCAAATTGAAAGAGTATTTTTAAACTTTCAATTTGAGCATCAGATCAAGTGATTGGCTTTCACACCTTTCTTTAAACACTAGAATCATATTTATTGTGTCAAGGCTGGCTAAAGCAGTAGCAGTTTCTTATCACCTACCATGTAAGAAAAATGTTGGATAGACTCATGGGTGCTGTTTAAACAGTTGTTTGTTTCTCTTTTAATTTTATTCCTAAATCTAGTTGAATTTGTGTCCCGTATAGTTAGAAGCTCTGACTAGCAGAATACAGTATGTAGAAGTTCTGACTAGTGCTGGGCAGTGTGACACATGCTTGTTATCCTAGCTACCTGGGAGGATCTCTTGAGCCTAGGAGTTAGAGGCCATCCTGGGCAACATAGTGAGACCCTGTCTCCCTTTAAAAAAAAAAAAAGGAGTAGTTTTGACTGGCAAAATAAATGGCCATTATAGGTTAGAATCATAAAATGAGACCAGATTATCTTCTCAATAACTCTTTTATAATATGCAGATTCAGTAAGGCCTAATAGGGCAAAAGAGCACAGAACCTATGTCTGTTGACCTACAAAGATTTAATTATATATCACATTTTTTAAAAAGTATATATAAAATAGCAAATAGAGCATTCTATTTCTGCCTTAATTTTATTTTTAAATCTATGTGCATGCACTAAAAAAGGTCTAGAAATACACAAAGCAAACAGTAACAGTAGTTTATTTCCAGGAGGTGGAATCCTAATTTTGTATTTTCTGCTTTTATGTAAAAGGAGTACATGTTACTTGTGTGAAAGAAAGAGAAAAGAAAGAAAGAAAAGAAAAGAAAGGAAAAGAGAAAAAAGGAAAGAGGGGAGGGAGGGAGGGAGGGAAGGAAGGAAGGAAGGAAGGAAGGAAGGAAGGAAGGAAGAGAGGGAGGGAGGAAGGGAGGAAGGGCACAAGGAAGGGCACTTTGGAAGGCCAATGTAGTCAGATCACCTGAGGTCAGGAGTTCGAGACCAGTCTGGCCAAAATAGTGAAACACTGCCTCTACTAAAAACACAAAAAATTAGCCAGGTGTGATGGTGCACGCCTGTAATCCCAGCTACTTGGGAGGCTGAGGCAAGAGAATGGCTTGAACCTGGGAGGCGGATGTTGCAGTGAGCCAAGATAATGCAAGACTCAAAAAGTAAAATAAAACAGTAAATTCAATGGAGGGAAAACAAATTAGAGCGAAAAAAGCCACTGTGTTTTCACTGATAGGATATTATTGTCACTTTTTGGAGATGAATTCAGTAAAGTGATTGGTGAGGAAAACAACATATAGGAGCCATATTCCAAGATGTCAAAAAATCATGAGGGTTCAAGGACACAAACAAGGAAGAATTGAGTTTTCATAGATGGAAGTAGCCAGTGGAGAGAAAAAGAGATGGGAGATGTAAGAAAGAAAAGAGAACAAATGGAACCAGGCCCTAGAGGAATCAGCACAGAATCAAAACATGAATAGCCAGGGTATCATTTTTCATGATTCATTACTCGTGTCAAATTTTCAGTAGTGATAATTGCTGTGAAGAAAATAAAATAATGCTATAGAGTTGCTTACTATATAGGATGTCAGAGAAAGCTTCTATGAGGCGGTAACATTTGACCTTAGATCTAAATAGTGTGAAAGAATCAACCAGGGGAAATTTAGAGTAAGGTTTTTGCAGTCAGAAGAACAAATTTAGAGGCCTTAGGAAAATTAAGGCTGGGCGCGGTGGCTCACGCCTATAATCTAAGCAGTTTGGGAGGCTGAGGAGTTCGAGGCTAGCCTGGCCAACATGGTGAAATCCTGTCTCTACAAAAAATATATATATACACACACACATACATATATACATATATATATACACACACACACATACACACACACACACACATTAGCCGAGCATGGTGGCACATGCCTATAATCCCAACTACTTGGAAAGCTGAGGCAGGAGAACTGCATGAACCCAGGAGGTGGAGGTTGCAGTGAGTTGAAATCGCGCCACTGCGCTCTAGCCTGGACGACAGAGCAAGACTCCGTCTCAAAAAAAAGAAAAGAAAATTAAGATGAGGAGGTTTGAAGAACAGAAGAACAGAAAGAAGCCAGTGCAGCTGGAACATAGTGAACAAAAAAGGGAAGTGTTTAAGATTGGATCAGAGAGGAAAGGAAATGTGAGATCATGTAGAGCTTTATAGGCAATGGTAAAGGGCTTGGAGTTTATCCTAATAAAGTGAGAAACCATTGATTTAGAGGAATGATGTGAACTGATAAACATGTTAAAATTAGCACTCTGACTGCTATATAGACAACTAAGGGGGGCCAGCACAGAGTTAGGGAAGTGGAAGATGGAAGCTATTTTGTTTATCCAGATAAGAGATGATAATAACTTGAACTAGGATGAGCAGATAAGGTGGCAATTTGGTCAGATTGATTCAAGATGTATTTCTGAAGCAGGCTATATAGAGGGCAAGCCATTGATCTGAGAGGACAGGGGAATCAAGGATACGACTAGTTGGTGGAAGACTGAGTGGTTAAGATAGGAAGAATTTTTTCAAAGCATTGTATTTAATTAATACATTGTATTTAATTCTTTTGAGACTGGTGAATTGAAAATGCAAATAGAGTTGTTGAAAAGGTAATTAAATACGAGTCAGGGCTAGAAATACATACTTGGAAGTCATCATCGTGGACTTTTCTTTCTTTCTCTTTTTTTTTTTATTTTGCTCTGTCACCCAGGCTGGAACCTCTGCCTCCTGGGTTCAAGTGATTATCCCGCCTCAGCCTCCCGAGCAGCTGGAATTAAGGGCGCATACCACCGTGCCCGGCTAATTTTTGTATTTTTAGTAGAGACAGAGTTTTGCCATTTTGGCCAGGCTAGTCTTGAACTCCTGACCTCAGATGATCCATCCACCTCAGCCTCCCAAAGTGTGGGATTACAGGCCTGAGACACCTCACCCTGCTATCATCATGTACGTTTTTTAAAATCATGGAATTGGAAGAGATTACATAGGGAAGATGTATACAGAGAGAGAAGAGAGAGCCTTGGTCCAAGAAAGGTACCAGCGTGTATAGATTAGTCAGTGGAGTGGCAGCTTACAAAGGAGATAAAGACAGAAAAAATGGTGAGATAGGAGGACAACTCAAAGCAGTGTGGAGCCCCAAAGAATGAGTTCATTTAAGTTGGAGTCCGGAAATGGTCCTAAGAGCAAACAGCAAGAGGAAGCAGCTTCTATTCACGAACGTCTATGAAAATTTGGTCAGAAAAACTGGAGCCTATCGTATTTGAGCCAAGATTGTTCCTGTCTTACCCACCTCAGCTTAGTGAAATGGAGAGTGTTCTCTAGATTGCAGTAGCCAAGAACATAGGGCTCCCTCTCTTCTAGCTCCAAGCCGGAAGGCTCTCTTCCTGGAAAGAGCAGGGCCTCAACATTATTCATAATGCCCTCAGCAGAAAGTTGCTGAGGCTGACTTTCAGGTAAGTGAGGTCAGGAATAGAGAGCTGCCATATTGTGCCCAATTCCCACGTAATGAATGGGTCCTTGAGCATGGCAGACTCAAAGTACTGGGGCCCTAATTACCTTTGCCTGGGCTTTTGAAATAGTGATTCTTTGCCAGGAAATATAAACTGAAAGGACCTCGTGCAGTTGCCTGCCACCAAGTGCTCACTTCCTAGAGTGAGGTTATTCCCAGACCAAACTGAGGGTTGGACTGCTATTTCTTGCTGCCCAATAACAAGATGCAGATTAGCTGGAGAGGAGGAGAGTTTTTTATTTCTATAACCAGTTGCAGCGATAAGGCCCGGAAAATATCGCCACACCAACTCAAAATTACAGAGTTTTCCAGAGCTTATATACCTTCTAAGCTATATGTTTACATG